CGATTTCTTTCTTTTTTTTTTTTAAAGATTTTATTTATTTATTCATAAGAGACAGAGAGAGAGAGAGAGGCAGGCTCCCCGCCGAGCAGAGAGCCCGATGCAGGACTCGATCCCAGGACCCTGGGATCACGACCTGAGCCAAAGGCAGACGCCCAACCATCTGAGCCACCCAGGCACCCTCTTGTTCTGATTTCTGACAGTGAGTGGGCAGGCTTTTGTGAGAAGTCCCAAGAGAAAAACCTTGATCTCCAGATCACAATATGCCTTCATAGTGCAAAGTATCAGCTTTAACCATTTATGTGGATCAGCGTCATGTGTTTGAGGGCTTGTACCCTGAAGTAGGTTCGAGGGTAGTTGAAAAAGAAGCGGAGCACGTGAGCTGTGTTTCTTCTTTGGGTAGTAGGCAGACTACCTGGTCTTTTCCTTTTTGATGCAGTAAATGACTTAAACATTTTACTACACAAAAATGTTAAATCAAAAAAAGCATACCAAAAAGGGCAAAGGTGAGTTATAGTTTTTATTTGCAACCATTCATCTGCTTGGTCCTAATATTCTTCTCTGTGGCCTTTATATTGGTGGAGTCCCATGGAAAGAACATGGGACTAGTAATGAGGAATTAATTCAGCTACAAACGCCCTGGTGCATTAACCGGTTCACTTACTTTCCTCCGTCTCAAATTATTCATTTGGAAAGAAAGGATGATAATATTCACTTTACCTACCTTAGTGTGTTCTGAAGATGAAAGTGAGTAAGAGATTTACAGCTTTGTAAAGGTTAAGTTTGATATTGATTGCTAAGGTTTGGTAATAATGGTAATAGTATCTGCAGGCTCCCGAAGTAATGTTTATTGTTTATTGAGGTTCTTTTGTCAGGACCTCAGGCATTCATTTCTGATCTGCTGCATTATTGCATTGCAGTTTTCAAAGCTACCATACTTACCTTTCCCACCTTCTCTGGTGATGTTCCATTCTATTTGATGTTGAATTCTTCTTTGGGGATATAATGGGTATCATGGGTCCTCCATATTCTCAAGATTATCAGGAAAGGAGGAAGAAGAGCTAACAGTGAAGACACCAAATTAGAAGAGGAAGCCTAATGATTTCTGAGCAAAGTGGGGAAGGGGCCACTGATGCCAACTTTGTTTGTATCCCTCCTGAGAATTTTGGCAAACTGATAATAGGATGGTCTGGCAGTGTATCTGCTAGTTAGGACTTTGAGAATTTACTGGTTTTTTTTTCTTTTTTAAAAGAGAGCGTTTACTGTTTTAGGGCTCTTGGCTTACAGTTCTCCCCCTCATCCTTCACTGTTCAGGGAGTAAGGCATGTCGAGGCTTTGGCTATGTCACTTTTTCTATGCTGGAAGATGTTCAGAGGGCCCTCAAGGAGATTACCACCTTTGAAGGCTGTAAGATCAATGTGACTATTGCCAAGAAAAAACAGAGGAACAAGTCCAAGGAAAAGGTGGAAAATGGTGAGTTTCTAGTAGGGACTTTTCCCTCAGGGTGAGGAAGGGGAGGAGGGGGAGAGAGGATAGGGGATAGCTTCTAAATTTAAAACTTCCTTAAATTTCCTTTTGATGTCCAAAATCATCTAATGTATTTTGTTACTCATTTTTGTCTTTTATTTAATTCTAACTTTGGAAATCTGGTGGTTCTGGGTGTTGTCATACTTAACCCTGTGAGAAATGCCTTTTTTTTTGCTAGTAGCTTCTTTCCTGTGATGTTCTGGGCCTAGAGGCTGGATCACAGGCTTATTTTGTTGCCTCTTATTTTTTAGAAAATTCAGAACCCCCAAAGAAGGAACTGAAGCCTAAAAAACCCAAAGTGGCAGATAAGAAAGCCAGATTAATTATTCGGAACCTGAGCTTTAAGGTGAGTGACAGAGAGCACTAACACGACCTGTTCTGAAGGCTGTTGGTGCTCACTGGTGGAGCTCCTCACCAGGATGGTATAATTGGACATAATTCCTTCCAGGCATGAATCTTAGCCTTGTTGAATACAGAAAATGGGCCTGTATAAACAATTAATTAAGGATAGTAAGTGTGAAGATGCCTTCCTTTTGGGACACTACAGCTGAGATAGGGAGGGGAGGAAGAGCTCTTTGATATCTGTCTTCTTTGTCTGTTAGATCCAAAGCAAGATGTCTTCTGTTTAGAAATGTTTGATGTCCTAGGCTCAAAAGTAAAAAAGGAGTGAAAGTATTCAAGTTCTTTGTAATGAACTAATTTAATGGTTGATGTTTCATGTTTATTTTCTGTGATAATATCCTTTCACGTTTGGCATCAGTGTTCAGAAGATGACTTGAAGACAGTATTTGCTCAATATGGAGCTGTCCTGGAAGTAAACATCCCCCGGAAGCCAGGTACTAGCAAACCCTCGTCTGTTGTGGATTAGATTAAGATTATTTAACATAATGGTGTTTTTCCATTTCATCCTTGAACTAACCGATATTTGAAATAAAAATACAGGGGCACCTGGGTGGATCAGTTGGTTGAACGTCCAACTCTTGATTTCAGCTCAGGTCACGATCTTAAGGTTGTGGGATCCAGCCCCCTGTGGGGCTCACATTCAGCACGGAGTCTGCTTGTCCCTCTCCCTCTGTCCCTTCCCCCCACTGTGCATGCGCGCTCTCTCTCTCTCAAATAAATAAAATCTTTTAAACAAAATAGAAATACAAGGTTCATGTCATACTCTTTGTGAGCCCCAGATGATATGATGTATATAAAGTATCAGGCACAGTGCTTGACACATAACAAAAACTCAGAAATAGTACTTATTCCCCCAATGGCATTTTTAGTTAGATCTCAGAACTAGTTTTAGAAGACAAGTTATGGTTTGAGAAAATGCATTTGCTCTCCGCCAGCTTGACTCAGGGTATCCTCAGCAGGAGGACAAAAGCTATTGCTTTGGGCAAGGGGCTGACTGGTTGGCAGGGCTTGGGTCATCCTGCCAGCCCAGGTTGCTGTAATGTCCTTCTTGGTGTTCGTTGGCTCCCCACCTGCTGCCTCTAACTTTTTTGTACATTTGCACACAGATGGAAAGATGCGTGGTTTTGCTTTTGTCCAGTTCAAAAACCTTCTAGAAGCAGGGAAAGCTCTCAAAAGCATGAACATGAAAGAGATAAAAGGTGAGTTTTCTGTACCCCTACCGTTCACCCAGATATTTCTGGTGTTTGGTGAATTAGCACAGTAACCCACTTTCTGCATTTTCAAAAGGTGTTTGAATTGTTGAGTCTTACTGATAATATAGAAGCTGTTTGGTGAAATATTCCTAGTGCTTGATCTTAGGGTTAAACTTGAAAGAACGCATGCCATTATTCGCTTTACTTTATTTGGGAGATGAGTATGCATTTAAATCCTTAATGAAAAAATGTCCCTAAAATAATCACTGATAGATGCAGGTTCTGTCCGGGGGGCTGTGGGTTTTGCAGGTTTCTCTGTCTTGGTTGTGGTCACTCTTCAGCACCCTTCAGCTCCCGTGGGCTGTTAAACTGGCTGTGTTCATTTATTAGATACTAAAGAAGGGCTTGGTTTGGAGACTTTGTAATTTCTGTGCAGAGTGCAGATTATTCCAGAGCACTTGTTTTGCCTAACTAGAGACTTGTCTAACTGGAAACACTGTTCCCATTCTTTCTTTCTTTACCTTTTTACTCTCTCTTACCCCAGGTGTGGGGGCTGTTGTAGAAAGGCAAAATAACTGTTTACATTGATTAAAAAGTTTAAGGGTTAAAAACGGTAGGCTAGGGGCACCTGGGTGGCTCAGTCGTTAAGCGTCTGCCTTCGGCTCAGGTCATGATCCCAGGGTCCTGGGATCGAGCCCCGCGTCGGGCTCCCTGCTCAGCGGGAAGCCTGCTTCTCCCTCTCCCACTCCCCCTGCTTGTGTTCCCTTTCTCGCTGTGTCTCTCTCTGTCAAATAAATAAAATCTTTAAAAAAAAAAACAACAAAAAAAACGGTAGGCTACTCTGAGCTTTATTTCAGGACCAACATTCTCTGAATTAGCAGTTTCTTTTGTCTGTTTTGGTTCTATCACTGTCTTGGATGAATAGGAAGTCATTTACAAGAGACTTTAAAAAGAGGAAGACCTTTCTGATGCTACTTTTCTATCTGACAGGGCGGACAGTAGCTGTGGATTGGGCCGTGGCAAAGGATAAATATAAAAATACACAGTCTGCCTCTGCCCCAGGTAAGATGTGGTGATATTGGGTAGGAGGGGTTGTATGTCCTGGGGTGGGTGTGGAAACAGCTCTACCTAGGGTAAAATTATAAGGGAACTTGCTTCTCAGTAAGAATACTGGGTTAAAGATACCAAAAGCACAAGATTAACGGAAAGAATAAGACTAGGGATTAAGAGAAACTGAGTTCCTGTGGGCTCAGAGTGAGCCCAGAGCTGTTTGTCGATTCATGTTGTACCATCTGGTGATCTGGTCTCAAAACATAGGGTCTTTTGAGTCTAAGACCACTCCTGGGTGTGAATGTGAATGAGGAGTGGGACCTGAGTTCATTGTCCCCTCTGCTGCCTGTCCTTTCCCACTTCTCATAAAATGATGGAATATTAAGAATAGGGAAACTTAAAACTTGAGGTTTTTTTTAGAAAGCAGGTGGCTTTTAAGCCACCAGGAGCTCCGAGAACAGAACTCACCGGGATGAAAGTTCATGGCCGGGCCCCAGAGTGAACAGGGTGCTGGCTGTGGCGTACAGCGGGGCGTACCGCGGGGCGTACAGTGTGGTGTACAGAGGGGTGTACAGTGTGGCGTACAGCGGGGTGTACGGTATGGTGTACAGAGTGGCGTACAGCGGAGCGTACAGTATGGTGTACAGTGGGGTGTACAGCGGGACGTCCCGCGGGGCGTACAGTATGGTGTACAGAGGGGCGTACAGCGGGGTGTACAGTGTGGCGTACGGTGTGGCGTACAGAGGGGCATACAGCGGGGCGTACACCGTGGCGTACAGCGGGGTGTACAGTGGCAGGCTGTTTGCAGAGGCTCAGTTGCTACCTCTCTCATTCCGACGAATGGGACGGGCTTCCAGGGAATCTCAGTGATGAGGGCTTTTTGTTGTTTTTGCTTTTTTCCCCTCATACTTTCTCTTACATGCAGTAAGAAAAATACTGAGAAAAATAGTTAAAGTCCTAGTCCTAGTCCCAATGAACTAGGAACTTGGGGTATTAAGTTAAGCTTGTCCAAGTTAATCTTGGATTCTAAATGAATTCCTAACTTTCTTTACCTAAATGTATAGGTGAGGAGAAGAGGCCTGAACCTAAACATCAGGAATTAGATGAAGAGAATGGCAGGGAAGAAGAGGATACAGAAGAGGAAGAGGAAGAAAAGGATGACACAGAAGAGGAAGAAGAGGAAGAGGAGGAGGGGGAAGAGAATAAAAAATCAAGGGTGACCAAGCCTGCACAGATTCAAAAGAGGTAAGCAGCTCATTTTGTTCCGAGACAACAGACGCAGAGCTAGGCTTGTCTCTGGGAGGAACAGTGATGTCTTCCCTGCCCCCATCACGGCAGAGGCGACATGTGTAATGACCGTGGACAGACCCCTCTGACAGCCCAGATCCTTAGTTCTGACTGCCATTGCAGAGCAGTCCGGAAGGCCGCACCTGCAGAGAGCAGTGAGGAGGAGCATTCTGATGACGACAGCGACCTAGAGGAAAAAGAGAGTATTGATGGCGGGGAGGAACTGGCTCAGAGTGATACCAACAGCGAAGAGCAAGACGACGAAGGTTTGCCTGGGATCTTTGTGGACCTTTATGTTTAAAACCAGTTACTGACAAATGTGCATCAGTTCAGTGCACAACTCTTTTTAAATAGGGCCCTAAGGTGTTCTGTCAGATTTATGTTTCAGTGCTGGAAAGGATATCTTTATATTCCTTCTCAAGATTTTTGTTTTGTCTTTTAAATACGTTTGGAATAGTATTTGAGGGTTAAGATTCTCAGGGAATTTAAAACCTGGCTTAATGCTGAGGCACTACTTCTCTTGCTTATCCAAGATGAATGAGTAACTGGATAAGCAGGATATTGTATCCTAACACCAAGTGGATTTTAAACAACTCTTATGAGTTGAGGTGGGGATAAAGGACCCCTTGGGGCATTTTGGAAAACTGTAATCAAACCCTGTTGCTCCCTTTATAAAGATTGTTGGGCATAAATTCAACTCATTTATTGAGGGAGGCTGGTCATTACAGAATGAGGAATGGTCAATAACTGGTTCTTTAGTTTAAGTCTGGCATGTTGGTTTGGCCATATAAAAAATCTGAGGAAATAAGCTTTTTCCATGAGGAGAGAATGGTAGACACCTTAGAATCAAAGAAGCTTCTATACTGATGGGACTATGAGACCTTGCATTTAATAACCAGCTTCATCTGTCTCTTACCATTTCTTTACCTTGAAAAAATTATTGATTCAATACATAATAATGGCAGAAAATTAAGAAGAATAGTGCAGGAGAGTAATATAGAAAGAAAAGTTCCTCACCACTCCCCCCAAGAGTCCCTCAAAGTAACCACTGCAGTTTCTTTCATATTCTTTCAGAAATTTTTTATGTATATGTAAGCATATATGTCTATTTTTAAAAACAGTGAGTCTTCCTTATACCCAGGTCTTCAGCCACTTAGGACCCCTCCCCAGAGACAACCAATGTTAAAAGTTTCTTGTGTATCTATCTTAATACTTTTATTATTTTTTTTTAAGATTTTTTAAATTTATTTGACAGAGAGAGACACAGCAAGAGAGGGAACACAAGCAGGGGGAGTGGGAGAGGGAGAAGCAGGCTCCCCACTGAGCAGGGAGCCCGATGCGGGGCTCGATCCCAGGACCCTGGGATCATGACGTGAGCCGAAGGCAGATGCTTAATGACTGAGCCACCCAGGCGCTCCATATCTTAATACTTTTATAAGCAAAAACACGTGTGTGCACACACACGTCAAATATAGTGTATGTTTGTGTGTGTGAATGTGTATTTTTTTCTCCTCAAATGTTCTTAATGTTTAGACTGTCACAACAGTATATATGAATGTCTTTTGTCCCACACCCTTACCACATCACATTTCATCCTTTTTTTTGGTTGTTGCCAATCTGTTGGAATAAAAAATAGTATCTTATTCCTGGTGCTATGTTTTTCTTGAGTAAATTTGGGCATCTTTTCATGTATTTAGTTGTATATCCTTTGTTCACTTTTAATTTTGTTTTTTCTTATTCACTTATGCAAGGTTTTTACATATCTAAGAAGTTAGCCCCTTGTCATATGGGTTGCACTAAGTCTTTTTCAGTTTGTTGTATTCTCTTTTTACTTTAGATGTGCAAGTCTCAAAGAAAAAGAAGAGGAAATTACCCTCTGACGTGAACGAAGGGAAGACTGTTTTTATCAGGTATACCTTTGTTTTTTTTTTTTTTTTTAAGATTTTATTTATTTATTTGAGAGAGAGCACATGAGAGGGGTTAGGGTCGAGGGAGAAGCAGACTCCCCACCAAGCAGGGAGCCCGATGCGGGACTCGATCCCGGGACTTCAGGATCATGACCTGAGCCGAAGGCAGTCGCTCAACCAACTGAGCCACCCAGGCGCCCCTATCAGGTATGCCTTTGGTACCTTAAGATCTGCTGTTTATGTTGCCCTCACAGGTTTTTCTTTTCTCCTTTTTTCCTTTCTTCTTTCTCTCTTTCTTTATTTTTGTAAAGATTTTATTTTTAAGTAAGCCCTACACCCAGTGTGGGGCTCAAACTCACAACCCTGAGATCAAGAGTCGCATGCTCCACTAACTGAGCCGGCCAGTCGCCCCACTCTTTTTTTTTGGCCCCCCGGTACTAATTGTGTTAGGTAGGCCAGAAAATTAGATGCCTTTAAGACCATGAATACATCTGGCCCTAGGAACATAGCAAACAGTGAGAATATAGGAGAATCAGAACTGCACACAGAAGGTAAAGAGCAGGGGTCTCCAGATTTTGTCCTCATTTACATTTCCTTCTTTGTAATCGGAGTAGCATCATTTGGAATAAATCAGTTCTTCAGCTATTAGAAACATCTTGCTTCTGGCTTTTGTTTTAGGGGAAGTGCTGGGGAGGGGTGATACCACTTGTCCCAGATAATTTTTCTCTATGCCTAACTTACCTTTTAAAGTAGTGTCCAGAATAAAATAAGGCATCCCATTTGTTTCCAGGAAATCTTAAGGAGGGAGTCAGGTGGAGATGGGTTTTATTCCATGTTGCCATTGCCGTTTTAGTCCTACTGACTGTGGTACATTGGCCACTTCATAGAGCCAGGATATCTTTAGGATACCTCAGGCATGCCTTCTTGTCCTTTCTTTCTTTCTTTTTTTTAAAAGATTTTATTTATTTATCTGAGAGAGAGTGAGGGAGAGAGATAGAGAGAGAGAGAGAGTGCACAAGCAGGGGGAGGGGCAGACGGAGAGGGAGAAGCAGGCTCCCTGCTGAGCAAGAAGCCCAATGTGGGGCTCGATTCCAGGACCCTGGGATCATGACCTGAGCCGAAGGCAGATGCTTAACCTACTGAGCCACTCAGGCACCCCCTTTCTTGTCCTTTCTTAAGTGCCAGTGTGCTAGGGCTATTTGGGTCTTATTTTAAAGATGTGTATTTTATCTTCCTCTATAGTCTTTTAAGATTGTTTTTATTATACGAGTAACTTATGCTTATTGTAGGTAATTTAGGAAATAAATGAGCAAAAAGACACAAAATATTAACCTTAATGATTGCTCAGAGAACACCCGCACACATGCCCATATCATAGCTGTTTACAAAGATGAGTTTAGCCTTCATAAGCTGCGCTGTAGCCCATTTTCTTCCTTCACGGCTTGTCTCTTCATAATTGTTCTTATTGTGTTGTTTGGAATGGCCATATAAGTAATTCTGTATTTGTAGAGGATGCTGTTTAATAGGAAGGAGGAAATGTCACCATTCCTTACTATTTCTACATCTTTTAATGAAACTTAGGAAAATAAAGGATGGGAGAGAGAAAACTATACACAATGAGACAAATTAGAAGAAGTGACATGGCTAGGATATGTCTTATTGCAGAACATTTTTTTGTTTCGGTTACTTCATAAGATGGAATTGTTTATGGGGTTGTTAACTGAGTATAGAGAAGAAAAATTATAAATATTTATTGGGACCGTTTTTTTGTTTCTTGTTTTTACCCTGGAAGGATGTGCATAGCTGGGGAAATGAAAGATCTTTATAATGTATTGAAATTTGATAGAACAAAATCTTCTAACATCTTTTAATCCCATCAAGAGAAATAAGTGCTTTTCTTGTTTTGCACTTAGCTAGTAAACTTTACTGTGTTTGCTTTTGAGTTATTATTTTGAAGGATTTTCTGGCTTTTGTAAAGTTTTAACTGAAACCTGGATTTCACAGCAACACAGAAAGGAAAATGGGTAATCAAGAGAGACAGACAGACACATGTACACACTTGACTTTTCTCATCAGCCTGCTGTGAATCTTCTGTTTGTAATAAGAGAAACTAATTTTGGCCAATGTAAATGAAAAAGCGGGTTTGTTGGATGAACATTGGGTGGTTCACAGGATCAAAGCTGTCGAAGAGTAAACCTTAAGAAGGAGATGAAAATCTGGGATGTTTTGGGCCCCAGCTGTAGGAGGCTGTGGGTCTTTTCTCTGGGAACACTTACTGCCTTTTTTTTTTCCTTCTCAAGGCATAACATATATTCTGTAAAGTGCATTAATCTAAATGTACAGCTCAGTGAAATTTTTTGTGCATATATACCCATGTAACCACCACCCAGATCAAGATATAGGACATTTTCAGATTTCTGCTTCCCAGAAGTTTCCTTTGGGTGGGGTATTGCTATTTTGAAATGAATCTGCATCAACAGCTTCTGGCCTTTGTGTATGTCTGTTCAAGTTTTAAATTCCTGGGGGAGAGAATCTGATTGACAGAAAGGCTAGTCAGGTATGGATGAGGGGCAGAGTCACACGTCAGAGGCTGGGCCACTGGGGGCCTCCCCTATGTATTGGTACTATATCTGAACCCCAGAGGGTGGTCATGAGCGAGAGTACCACTCCACTTGGTGTCTTACTCACCTTATACTAGAACACAGGATCTCACTTGAGTAATTGACTTTTCTTGTGACTTGACTATCTTCCGTAGAAACCTGTCTTTTGACTCAGAGGAAGAAGAACTCGGGGAGCTCCTCCAGCAATTTGGAGATCTTAAATATGTCCGTATTGTCTTGCATCCAGACACAGAGCATTCTAAAGGTACTTGTTGTCAGCTTGTTAGGCCCTAAAAAGGTGGAGACTGCTGCCATGGACACTGACTAGGTTACTTGAGAGCATAACGTGTGTCATTCTGAGGGGTCTACAGTCCATCCAGCCCAGGTTTCTGTGGTCCATAGAAGCACCAAGGACATTCTGAGGTTGTCTTCCAAGATATCAAACTCAGCATCTTTAATGGTGCTGCCAGCCACAGTTTTGTCTAAGCTTTTTAAGCCCTTGCTTATTTACTTTAGGGTAATGAATTCCATTTGTTGTTCTCCTTTGAATTTCAAATGTGATAGCATCTCATGGGTATTAATCATTCCACATTGCTTGAAATTACTGGGATCTTTTTCGGTTGCTTTTGTTAGAGATGGAAGCTAACAGAAATTTTGTTGCAGTGGCAACAGTCAGAAGGAAAGCTGTATATAGCAGGACTGCTGCCTTAGATTTTTTTCCCTAAAGCTATTTCTTTTGAACTTTTAAGGATTGGCCCCAGTTCATTCTAGTGTATTGTTGTTTAGGGGAGCAGCATCTTTTCAGTCTATTCATAATCTTTGATTTCATCAACTGCAGTCATTCTCCTAAAGCAGTGAATTCTTAATTCATTCTGGTTCTTGCTTCCTTTGAGATCTAGCAAAAGCTATGAACCCTCTCTCCAGAAAAATGCCACTTCTGAGGGTTTGTGGGCTTTCTGGAATCTATTCAAGGGTTAAGAACCTCTGTTCTAAACCATACTTTCCAAATTGATGAGACCTGATCATTTTCGGTTTTTCCTTAGCCAAAAAGATATAAGTAGGTCAGTATGATGGAAAGAAAGCTGAACTGCTTCCTGGATATTAGGGATCTAATTGTAGCTGAGCCATAGACCAGCTGGGTGATTTTGGCAAATTGTTTAACCACTTCAGGCTTCAGTTTCTTATCTGTAAAATGAGTAGGTTCAACTGGAGTAATCACTTAATGTGTCTTCAACTCTAATACTCAACTATACTTCTTGGACCTTCTGCATTTCCAGTATGTTTTTCTAAAAATGGGCAACTAGAATTGCATAGAATGTTCCTAGTACTATAGGATATTGCATTACTTTGATATCTTTTGTTTCTTTTTGAGTGCAGTAGTCTGTTGGGTTGGTATTTTCAGAATGTAGTCAATAGTTGACTTGCGCATTCTCTTTCTTGATCTATTAATATTAGCTTAGAGTTAATGATTTTAATAAGCATAGTTTTATTATTTTTTAAAGATTTTATTTATTTATTTGTCAGAGAGAGAGGAAGAGAGAGAGAGTGAGCACAAGATTTTATTTATTTATTTGTCAGAGAGAGAGGAAGAGAGAGAGAGTGAGCACAAGATTTTATTTATTTATTTGTCAGAGAGAGAGGAAGAGAGAGAAAGTGAGCTGCAGGCAGAGGGAGAGGCAGGCTTCCTGCCGAGCAAGGAGCCCAATGCGGGACTCCGTCCCAGGACCCTGGGATCATGACCTGAGCTGAAGGCAGATGCTCAACGGACTGAGCCACCCAGGTGTCCCAAATATGTTGTCTTTTTCTAGCTCTTATTAAATTTTTTTGCGTACTCACACAGCCTTGGCCGCCTCCTAGCATTTATCCCTGTCAGCAGGCTATTTCGCTGTCTAGGAGAGCTAAAAATTATCTGTAGACTTTTAGGGAAGTGTTAAGACTAAACCCAATACTGACCTAGGCATTTCCAGTGTTAAAATTCTTACCCATTCAGAGAGAAGTACCTTTTTTCTTCATATTGGATGAATAAGCTAATCTGTCAGTTAGAACATATTTCCCCCATCTTCCTCCCTTTCTTTCTGTATTGTTTGTTTCTTCCTATTGAGTATCTATTAATGCCAGGCACTATGGTAGGTGCTAGCAGCCTAGAAACATGGCCCTTACTCCTGAGGCATTCCTTCTGTTTGGGAAGATGCCACCTGCCCAGAGCTGTAAAAAGAGAGATGTGATTGGAGGCTTGGTGGGTGGGGCATTTGGCCCTGCCTGGAGGAGGCAGGAAGGACCTCACCTAGATGGTGACTCTTGGGTTGGCCTGCCACGTGTGTTGTCTCAGTCTGCTGCCATTCATTCTTTTTTTTTTTTTTTAAAGATTTTATTTATTTATTTGAGAGAGAGAGAATGAGAGAGAACACATGAGAGGGGGGAGGGTCAGAGGGAGAA